CCCCCCCCCCTATTTTTAGACCAAACTGAGGACCGAAGGGACGAAAAAAATTGTTTTTTGAGACCGCCCCCCCCTCCCCCCGCCTTTATCTCAGGGTCTAGATGATGTATGTGTGTATGTTCATACATATTAACAAGAGAGGGTAAAGGAGACAGAGAAGGCATTCCCCATACACACCCTATTCCATAGGTAATTCGTCTCGACTTATTTTTAGAATCGGGATAAAGTTACCTCTTGCGCTGCGTGGATGTTTCGTGGACGTTTCGCTTGACTAAACGCCGTACAAAACATGTCGGCCGAAAGGCAATGAAAGCGTAAAGAGATTGAGAGCATTCCTGAATATTGAAGCGAAATGAATCGGCGCTCACCTGGGAAAAGGGAATCGCTGGACTCTTTGATCACCCGGGGGATTTTATTTTAACTCGAAGTTGTCGTAGCCTCAGAGCTTTAATAAAATGAGAAATTTCGCTGGTCTATTGAAACCGGTCGTTGGTACAATAAAGCAAGTGGGACGCCAAGTGTTATTTTTGTTAAATGATAAAAGACTAATAAAAGAATAAATATCAAACCAGAAATTGCTCCCTTCAAACTGTAAATTATAAATGATCCTGAGAGAATATTCAGTATGTTAACGATTTCCCTGCTGTACTGTTAGCTCTATACAAGAGAGGAAGGGCGATTCTTTTTTAATTTCTGTTTCGCTGACACAGCTTTAGCAGAAATCTTTCTATAGTCGCTTTCGTCGAGAAAACGGATAGCAATAGCAATATCGCTCTCCGCCATTTTGCTCTGCGTTAATTCGTGAAGGACGCGTGGCTCTGAGCGTGGGTCATCCACGCGGAACACGTTCTCTCTATGTGATTGGCTGTTGTCTAATCCCCCTTGGGATCTGTGGTCTTAAAAATAACTCGAGACGAATTACCTATGGAATAGGGTGTGTATGGGGGATGCCTTCTCTGCCCCCTTTATCCTCTCTTGATATTAATAATCACAGGAGTTCAGGCTTCAGAAGTAATCATTGATCGTTTATTGCGACAGTGCTGTTTCGTATGGTCCGAAATTGTAGGACCACACTCATCAGGCAACTTCAACGATTGATCGTTAAAATTAAAAGCTGGCAGTAAAATTTGGGTGGTTGTTATACTTGTCAATAGTACAAATCCTCCTTTCAAATAGAAATAATACTTTTATGTCAGTGTTTCCAAATCAAGGTGCGTCAAAGTCAAGCGTGCGATATAAACATAAGTTCAGCGCACTCGTTTAACTTTGTTTATTACATGTATATGTCTACCTAAATGATGCAACGGGGGTACTTGGGTTAATTTTCGAAGGGTATGTGCCGCTGGCCTCTCAGAGCCCCTACCCCATTCTGTGGCCAATCATGATAGACCCCATATTAGTCACTTTTGGACAAATATTTAATTTTCGCGATCCCAGCTTAGTTACTTTCTATTTTATGAATTGACCATTTTTTCAGATGGAATGAAGAACCCTTTACTTTTCATCTACAGTACAAACATTCTGGTACGTTTGCTAACCGTAAATATGAAGAACTGTCTTGCCCCAAAAAATCAGAAAATGCGCGACCCCATTCTAGTAACTCTCTTGAAAATGCGACCCCATTATAGTCAATCAACTCGAGAAAGTGCGACCCCATCCAGCAGGACATCCCCATTAGCCTCTTATAAGGAAGTAACAGCCCCCGCCTCCCCCCCGCCCCCCAGGCTGCCATGCACAACTAGAAGGACGAGTGAGTAATTTTTAGACCACACCATCTTCATAGATTATCTTTCGACACTACGCAATTTATAACGACCTCACTGACCTCACTATTTGCTGGAATATCTGACTGATCACTTAGTTGAGCCTCTAGATCGCTCGCCATTGTTTCGCGACTGGCACGAAAGTGGCGGTAAGATTGGTAAGGAGGTTAACCAAGCTGACTATGTTCACGTATCATTGGATAAAAAACTTAATGTCGTTACTCATATGAAGTATTAACTGAAATTACAAGCCATACGATTTGTCTGGACAGTTTGCGCAATATACGAACCCCGACTGTGCAACTATAGGAAGACAAGCAGGTCACGCAGGCTACCTAGGGAGACCTTTTAGGATTTGTATCCTCTAGTCATGAAAAAGAAGCAGATCACCGCGACACAACGATTTTTTCACCGACTACCGCGACATAAAATTTAAACTCACCGCGCACCGCTTGGACTCTGAAAACCCCAATACAGTACTTTGAAATAAAAATTACCGCAACACCGCACCAAAAATAACCCAATACCGCAAACCCTTACGCCCCCCTCCGTTTCATTTCTTCTGTTCGAGCGTCGAAAGGAGGACTGATGGTTTCTGTAACGTTCCTTAAAGTTTGTTACCAGTCCGACGTAAGTTTCAGTTGTCGTCGCTGTGGTTACAGTGGCTTAGAAGATATACATTTGATTGGAGGCATTTTCCTTCGAGTGGACAATCTGGTTTCTCTCTGAAATTGCAGGTGTCAGTTTGTTGCGGGTTAGGGTTGTTGCAGAATCCTGAATTCTAGACTTCTACACACTCTACAATCTTAAAACTGTGATCAATCGCCCCTTAAAACTGTGATAAAGACATAATTCAATAAATACATTAATTGTCTTCATCATCATCACTTGTCTTATCATAGCTATTGTCACTTTCATCATTGTCATCAATATATTCATCACCACCATCTTCGAGAAAGCTCGTCATCACAGACCAGTGGCTTGCTTTAAGCACTAACTTCACGACACTTGCTCCCTGACTACCACTTGTTCCTTTCTTTAACTTTGATGGGAATAACTTTTATTTTGCCTCAATTTTTGAAGTCCAAATTTTAAATGAAGTTGCACTTAGACAGGTGGTGAGAAAACGGGTTAGTTTTTAAGATCGCAAGAATGAAAATACACCAAAATTTCCTAGTATCGAAATGTGATATTAAGCAGCATTCTGACGCTACTTAAGAATAATTTGGGTCATTTATAACGTTGTTTTAAATAATCAATCACGGCTATTAAAAGTTTAAGGTTTGAACTATATTTTCGTTTTAGTCAAATTTAAACACACAGAATTTTTTACTTGTTACGGAGGTTATTTGCTAAACACCAAACTTTAAGTTCTTAGTGTTGGATTTTTTTTAGCAGCTGCTCTAGATCGCGCAAAATTAGGCGTTTATCAACTTCAAAGTTCTTTCGTTTATTGTTGTCATAGTAATATCGATTCTACTAAAACCTACATTTTGACAAATTTCAATCTATAGTCAATCATTGGTGAAAATTTTGTAGCGATCAGACAAGGATAAAATCACTTTTAAAGCGATTGAAAAAATATCGCTATGGCCTCCGAAAAACTATTATATCGAAACACCTTGAATCTCTAATATTTTAATTTGCTAATTTCAAAACAGTTCGTAGGGTTTTGAAAAGCCTACGCTTTGTTACTGTTTTTTTGTCTGCTTTTCCTTAAAAAGCAGGGTCTGGTAGGTAGAGCTCTGATAACGCCATAAAAAGCGAAGAGTCGCTCCTTCAATTTCTCAAGTTTTTCTCTTGATTGCTTACTAGATCTTATTACAAAAATGCCAAGTCTCTATGCAGAAATTGAAATGCTGCAAAGTGAACCCCTCACTTGTAGGTTTTGAAAGGGAAGCATCTTCTTTATTATATTTCATACCGATCGACCGACCCTTCTCCTTCTTGCGTTGCGCCTTGTATTATTGTATTCTTGGTGTTTTGAGGCCGTAAGTTAAACCACGCTTGGTCATTCATTTTTCTCGCTCCAAACAGACAACACGTCCTCATAAGGCAGATGTGTTACCTCCTGTTTTTAGCCACGGCATGGAATCCAGAATCTAAAACTATCTTGGATTCCCTCACATGTGGCAAAATGAATACAAATCGGCTATCAATTTATACAGTTTTCGTTTTCGTATAAATCACGGAATTAATTAGAGTTACTGAATAAAAACAATTTCAGACCATTTCGGTTAACGCCTTTAATTCTTTCGATTAACTAGAAATCCATAATGAGTTTTAAGTATGATGCATGTACGGTGTTTTATCTGAGCAACGAAGCCATTTTAATAATAAATAATCACGTGCACAAGTGCCCAAAAGTACCTTGCTGTGATTGTTACAACTGCATTGTGGTCTGGTCGTGTCAACTTCGACTTTCGTTTCTCCATTGATCATTGACCCGCCACGATCAATAGTCGATTAAAATGGTTTTGTTACTCCGCCTTTTCATTCAAACGTTAATATTACTTTCAGCCTTTATCAAAAGTAAGTAAATTCTCGTTTGTTCATTGAAGGACGTGTCTTTCAAAAGAATGTTGTTTACACTGTCGTTCTTTCTAATTTCAGCTTGTGTAGCGGCCAACGACATTGCTGTAAATTTTACTAAAGTACCGAAAAACACTGAGTTTTTCGTTGGTACTGAGGCAATCCTTCAATGGGAGTATTCCAGTGGCTTGCCTGCCGACCCTGTGAGAAAGATAAAGTTTGGAATACAGGAAAATAAAAATACGGATGTCGCAATTTTCGTCAAAGATGTCTCACAAGGGAATGTAAAGACTAACACTAAAACTCGATTAGATGTGATAGCTCCGCTGAATGGCCGCGTGCATGTTATTGAAAATAAAACGGCAACTCTTAGAATAGCAAACTTAACGCTCAACGACTCCAAAAGGTATTTCTGTACTCTGGACGTAGACAGCGATGCGCCATGGACACGGACAAAAACTCACTATGTGGACGTAAGAGTGGTGGGTAAGTGGGATCCTGTATTAATATCTTTAAAATACATCCCTCTGACTTAACTTTTTTTTTGAAAAACGAATATCGTGCTGGCCGTCGCGTCAGGTATTTTTTAAAATACTTTCTTATGATTTGAGAAACGCATTTTAAAACATAAAATCGTACGTTTTTTTTATTGTTTGCTTTTTTCATTGTAGTTTGAGTTCTGGTTCCGATATTTGATATTTTGCTTTCGTAGTTTTTACATAAAATTGTAAGATTCATCACTTTCACTGGCTGGATCAGGTCTGACCAATACACGCTGACACATTTCGTATTTTTTCAATACTTTGAGGTTCATTTAAAAGGGAGTAACTGTGTGTTTTTCAGTTTTGCTTTAATGAAAGTATGTGACAGCTATGAGTTCTTTTCTTCTTTTATTTGCAAACAAAATCTCACCTGCACGACCGGCTTTTTTTGGTCAAGTAATAACGAAGAAAAGACCAAAATGCAAATTTTAAAAACTCCCTCACATTTTGAAAGGACCATCTTCATGTTCTCTCCTCTTATTTTAATCACCTAAAGGAGTTTTATTCAACACTGTTGCATTAATATTGAGAATTCTCTGTCAGAAGTCACTTAAATATTCACGTCACGCGGTTTCATTTGCCACAATGAATATAACTTACCGCATTGGACATTTCCAACATCTTTTCTAGCGGCCGCTGGAAAGGTCAAAGCATATCATTTTAAATATTAAAGTGTGTATGTTTCACAGAGTTTTACACTGATGCGTAATCTTATTTTGATGCTTGACAAACAAAGTGTATTCAGTCGAGATTCGGATTCATTTTGTGCGGGAAACTTGGTCAGTTTACAGGAAATCTTTTTAAATTGCTGAATTTCGAAGTTCAAATACAGTACTATAATGTTTATGCTATTATTTGACCGATTCACCGGAACACTGAAAAGATCGTACAGCACGCTGAGTTCAGGCAGGGGATGGAAACGTGACGATATTTTTATTCAGTTGTTGTTTTCCCTATAGAAGATTTTTTTTACTTTCGACTTGAACTTGGAGAGAAATAATGCTACAAACTAAAACTATAATGTCCGTTCTTTCACGACACAGAGAGAAAGATTGTAATCGTCAAAACTGGAAACATATGGTGGTGCGGTTTAAATTGATTAATGGCCGGTTTTGTCGATATGGCTTATGATAATGAATTGATTCCGCAATGTATTCATACTTTCATTTTTAAAAATAAATAGCAACAAAAGCCGGGTGAAGCAGGATTTAGTCTCATTTTTTTTCACTATTACATTTTGGCGTTTCCGGGTCAATATTTCCATCAATTACTGTTGATTGTCAGGAGGCCATCAGACGAAAACCGGGAGATTGACAAAACTTCCATTTCCAAAAAAACCATTTTGCAGAACCTTGCTTTGCAGCAGGTGTTTTAAACCAATTGACATTAATTTAAATAGACTATTTCTTTCTCAAGCTCACTACAGCGTATTATTGTACTGCATTGTGAGTTCATGGAGTCTGATTGACAGGCCTTTTAAAGCATGCGCACCTACATTTTCCTTGGCCTTGCAGTAAAGGATAATTCATTCACTGCAATACGCAATACATCGTGACTTCAGCTGTAGAATTTTAAGAACTGTAGATCTTTTTTCAAATAGCAAGTTGACTTAAATACAGGGTGTCCAAAAAGTTCGTTCCTCTAATTTCATGCACTACATTTGGTCAAAATTTTTTTTTCACTTGAAATTTCTAGAAGATGTTTATTTCACTATCTGGGACATGTATTCAGAATTTCAGTTACTGGCATGCCCTTTTTGTTTTTTTTATCACATTCTGTAGCCGTTGCGGCATGAAGTAGGATGTGTTGCCCCACAGATGATCCATTTTGAGCTTTTTTAGCACCTGGTGCGCAGGAGCTAGTTCAATAATATTTATATTGGGCATTCATCCAAAAAAGATAATCATCCGTCCCACAGCAAGGCTTTTGTACTTCTTTACAAGAAGCGAGCGAGCTGGGGTTACTTGGTAGACTAAGCAGAGTTTTTCTTGGCCATCTCAGGGGCCTCTAATTTTTTAAACATTTTAAACAGCTTTTCATGACGTTTCTGGACTTAGCTTGCTAACTATGTGAGAGTTTTCTCTTGGATACGTCTCCTTTTTTGTATCTATCCTTCTTTAAAACTATTTTACCTGCTTTATTCAGGACTTTTGTCTTTCCCCTCGTTTCTTGCCTTCAAAACCTTCATTTCCCCATGATCATTTTACCACCAACATTTGCATTTTTCCAGTTTTTTAGCAGTTTCTATAACAGATAAGCCAGTAAATCGAACTCACCCAGCTGCCAATAAAGTAAAGTTAGCGACTTTTCCCTCTAATCCTATTCATAAATTCAACAGCCTGTTTTAGTTTATGTGCTTTTTTTTTCAAATTTTAGATCTAATGATTGATGATCAAAAGTCGACTCGAGTGGTTGAGTCATGGGAAGGGCATAAAATCACTCTTCAGTGCGTTGTGAAGAAGGTACTTCATGATGCCCCTGTGAGATTTTACTGGTTGCAACAAAACCGAACGATGCCAGGTCCTCAAACTAGCTGGAAAACCCTAGGTCAGGTATCCCTAGTCACCGTGAACGACCAAGATTTTGAACCTGTGACGTGCGTGGCGGAAACCGAAGCTACAACACAGCGAATGGAAATAAATATAAAACGACTGTGTAAGTGCCGTTTCTCTGCGTTCCTGTTTCTATAAACGAGTTGTCATGTTACTTCAGGGACGATTTTGGGAAAAATTTTGTTTCCTAAAAGAGGTTGTTCATTTGCAAAGGTTTTGGACTTGCTCAGAGTACTCCCGAGTTCAACTCCTCGACCACTCTTGTAAAGAGCTTGGTTTGCCTCCAGCCAACTGTAATTCTAAATCCTATTATGTTTTATTAAATAATTTGTTTTAGTCATTTGCTACTCAGCCATGTGGCAGCAGCTTCCCCCAGGTTAGAGACTCAAAACTTTTCCCAAACACGAGCACTTCCAAAAATATTGAAGCCTAGCTAGAACAGGCAAATTAACTCTTAAGCTGCGAAACGTTTCTCATGCAATTAGCGGACGGTATTTCCTTGCCCTGAAGATGACCTAGTGTCGAAAACATTTGAATTTTCTTATTCTTGTAAATATACTTGGAGTTTTGAAAACCGGGTTAGCAAAAAAATCAACTCATTCTACTACTTGGAAATTTAAAACATTTCTTTCATTGAAAGAACGTCTAATAGCCTTTATTTGACGCCAGGTAGTAAGTTAGTGGTCCCTAGTAGCATTTAACTGAATCTAAATAACTTGAAGTGACGCAAATCTTAGAACATTTCCGTAATCTGACTCCCTTGGAGTTTCAAACCGGTTTCATTTCAGTCAAGAAATTTTTAAGTTGAGTGAAATACAGTCAAAAAGTGCCTGGTTAAAGCTTATGTAACAACTTAAAAGCTACTTAAATACTACTATTTTCTCCGGCCAATAAATGACAGGATGTTGCATGGAATAGACAACAAACATTGAAAATGCCTAGTACACAATTTATCGATCACCTTCTGATCTTAGTTCTGCCTGTCAACACCATCCGGAAATCACACAATCATACACTTCCGTGGCGATGATAAGACTATCCACAACTTCACATAATCTTTTCATGTTTAACACAGGCCAAATATCATAAAATAGTTCGGAAAACGTAGGTTTTTTGCAGAAAAACACCACTACAAACTTATCTTACAATCGTCTTATTCAAGTTCCCGGATGTACGGTCACACGGTTGAATACGGTACGATATTGGACGATGCAGACTCTGCGAATCATGTTAACTTTGTCCCATCTCAGAGCTTTAGATGATGCTCTCCGGGAAACTTTTCTCCAGGTGACTCGAACAACGAAATATAAACCGCTAAGCGGCACCGAAACCAGCTTTAGGTGCGCACTGATTTCCAATAAGTGTCACTTGTGTTAGAGAGAGAATTGTGGGCAGGGACGAAAAAAGATCAAAGAGGGAGGGAGGAAGATTAGATAGAAATTCCCGAAATTCTGTCTTAAGTCAGTTCTGCAAAAATCCCTAACCACGAAACAACTAAGAAAAGTTACGACGTAAAGAAACAACACAGTAAACAAGCTAAGACTGGTGAAGTTCAGATAAATTACAAAATGTTTCATAAATCCAGGTAGAAATAACGCAACGACAACATGTATAATTTATAAGTGCAGAACACACTTGAAAATTACATTTAATTTGTAAAAGTTTTATTACACGAATATTACATTGACGACAGGTCCTGAAAAATCAAATTCCAGTTCAAAATGTATTACTTTTCGTTTAGCAAAATGAACATGAATATCGTGTTGTTATTGTTATTGTGTAAGTACTGGGTACCGTGGGCAAGATTCCTTTAAAAGTCGGTATTAATCAACGCGTGTACGACCTACATGAAGAGGCACTCGGAGAGTTGAAACAGTAAGGACAGATGGGCAGTGTCGGTGAGGAGAGCGATTCAAACGTTTCGAGTGCTACAATCTCAGTCAAAATTGTTGAGACACTTTACTGTCTTCTTACTCTCCCAATGTCGGTGTACAGGATTTGGTGAGTTAAGTGCAATAAACAACTTGGGAGAACGAGGGGACGGGCCAGAAGTGAAAAGATGTAAAAAAACAGCGTTTGGTGGAAGTGTCCCAAATATTTTTGCCTGAGACTGTAGCCCTTTGTCAGGGCGAATCAACACGGTTGAGAGTTGTGTGTGATTTAATTATACCGTACTGGAGCTATGGAAGGAACGTGATAACATCAAAAACGACGGAATAGTTTAATAAAAAGGGTGCGTTGATTCCGAGAAGATCAAGGGCGCGTTAAATTGTGGATTACGCGTAGCGTAAGGAACAAGTTAACGGAAGGCACAGCGGTATGCAAATGTGTCACACACCTTTCGTAAATCAGTCTGCTCCACACGAGCGCGCCCAATATCAAAACCACAACTGTCGTAGATCGTTCCCGTTCTGCGATGTGCTGATTTTGTACATTTCAAAGGAGTCACAGGACGATTCATGTTGACTTTGAATGTTTATAAATAAGCACTATGGCTAACTTTGAGGCAGAAGTTTATGAACTTTTGAAGCTTTTTTGACTCGTCCAAGCGATAAACATGACGAAACGTTTTCGACTCTCAAGCTGGTCCAAGCTCACGATTCTGCCGTGAGTCTCATGATTTTTTAGCTTTTCTCACGATAAGACTCCCAATCTCATGGTTTTTAGTGAAAAATAATTCTGAAATGAAATGTTACTTTGTACAATAAAAAAAGGAAATGTTTACTGTTGCTCAATCGTAATTGATTCTCCTCAAGTAAACACTGGGAATCGCAATCTGCAAGAGACTTTGCGACGGTTTTGCGAGACACTTGTCGGCCATATGTACTTCAAATGCGACGAAATGAGTTAAGGTACGGTTTTAACTGTCAAAACCATGCTTGTTTTCCTCGAATATATCTTTCAATTCTTCATCAGTATAGCTCTACCGCCTTCAAACAGCGTCGACTGCCAGATTTTCATGATCAAAAGAGTTAAGGATGATTAATTTAACGGTCGCCTTCACTATTAATAGTCGTGGCGCAACGGATAACGCGTTGACCCTCTACGTCGGACTCTCTTCCTTTTTTTTGGTCCTTTTGTTTTTTTGTTTTTTCGTAAAACATACTTCCATTTTTTGACAGACTTAAAATATACCGGTAGACTAATTGCAGGTTCATTATCAGCTTTCATTTCTAAAATACAGTAATTAATAATCCACAGGTTAGCCTTAGGCACCCTTTGATTTATTATTGCAGTTTTCTGTGTTGCCCCATGCGGGGGGAACCCCAGATTGCTATTTGTTTACTAGAATAAAAAAAGTCAAGCTAATGGTTTCGACGGGTTAAAGCCCATCCTATGACCAACACAGCAGTCCACCATTACAAGGTCAACCCAATCCCAGAGCCACCCAGGTATTCTTAACACATATTTAATCCCATTCCCCTCTACTAGCCTGGAAATACTTAATGAGGCTGCTCCTTAGACCCAAGGTCCCCATTCGCCTGATATGAACCTGTTTCTTACATAAAATTTAAGGGGGGAGAGGCATGATGGAACTGTGTGGAATTTTTTTGAGTTTGGAAACTGAGGGGGCGTTTACAAAAGCGAAAATCGTCCTTTCGTGAAACACCGGAGCATCATTTCCTAGCAAAAACTTCGGTAAAAATCGTTACCCTGACCAGGCATTCGACCGTTTCCAGAAATTTGGAAAAGTTTCATTTCATCGACGAAATTTGATGGTTGCTAGACGACAGATCTTTTTAGACCCTTTAATTTAAAATGCGTTGTTAAAATTAAAATCGTTTGGCTTATAATCACTACGTCTTAGCCCCTTTACACCATCGTAATTGCTACTCTTACCACTGTTCTGAGAACTGAGCAAAAACCGATAAAATCGAATAATTTGCAAATGATCATTACTGACACCGATATTCTACTGTACTGTGCATATAGATAAACCGTTAGAACCAGTCAACCTCACAGTGCAAGAGATTCAACGTAATGATACGGAGTGCAAGCTGTATAACAAGATTACTTGGGAGCCCCCTCAGGATGATGGCGGGATTCCGTTAACAGGATACTTGTTGGAGTTTAAACATCCTGTCGTCAACAGCATTTCACACAGCAGGATCAACATTAACACAACAGAGCACATGGTATGCAAGCTGCAGATCAGCGGTCACCCCCGAGAGCTGAAGGTAGACGTGAGAGGAATCAACAAAGCTGGCCACGGATTCAGATCAAACAGCATTAAAGTTTTTTTCTTCAGTGAGTTTTACGATACCATATACTACTACCTATACACCCAATATTATTATTAATAATGATAATAATTTCAATAATAATAATAATAATAATAAGTATGGCATGGATTGACTTAAGGTGGCTCGATATAGTTTTTCAAGGTCAATACATCCCAAGTTTGAGCGTAAGCTACGTCGCCATAAGCAAAGATTTGGAAAAATTGACACCACAGTTGTATTAGATAAAGATGAGAATTTGTTGTGATCAGGGTTGCAATGACATCGGAGTTGTCATAGTAACGAAATGACGCCGGTACCTATTTCACTTGCAACAGTATTTCTAGGCACTGGGAACTGTTCTTCCAAAATCGTTTACTGGAGCTTTTTCCCACAATAGCCGCCTCGATGTTCGTGAAGTTTAAGCGAAATCTGTAAGAGCGTTATCGAGATATTTTGGGAAGAAGTTTTTATGGTTAGAAATACGGTAAAAAATGGACAATCTTGATGTTCCACTGTTATCTGTACTAAACGAAGCGCTTTTGTCATGCAATTTCACCTCATAGTAGTTTCAATCTTTTTAAAAACGTGTGTGAAAGATCATGGAGATACCTTCAGCCGATTG